AACCCTAAATTTAGAAGCATCTAATACTATACCTTTAAATATATATCTATTTATATTTTTATATCTTTAAATATATATTTACATGTGCATATTACAATTAAAGAATTAAAAGGATATATAGGGGCCGGGGATGTAGCTCAGTGGTTCTGCCACCTGCCTCACAAGTACAAGGACCCAAGTTCAATCATCAGAACCAAAAAAAAAAAAAAAAAAAGGATATATAGGCAAGTCCATAGTTATGGTTGGAGATTTGTAACTATCTGGGTTTCTCACAAGTAGAATAAGATGACAGAAACTAAGTAAGGCCAGATCAGATGTGAACTACATTAAGAAACTTGACCTAATTAGTATACAAGACAGTTTACCCAACTACCACAGACAAATAAAACCATCCTTTTCCAGTATACGTGAACTATTACCCACACTGACCATATTCCTGCCACTTGGAGTGAGTGCTCACAAATCCCAAAGGAGTGAAGCCCTTCAGAGTACATTTTCTGTACACAGCGGAGTTCAGATACAAATTCATCACAAAAATATACACAGAGAAAAAACCTCAAATGTTGGATGTTAAACAAAATACTTCTAAGTAGCTGTATTAGAACAATCCACAGTAAAAATTAGTAAGTATATGGAAATATGAAAATACCATGTTACAACAATATATAACCAGTAGAATGCAGCTAATGAAGATGCTGAGGAGCATTTAGGGCCTGAAATGCATATATTAGAGAAAAGGAATGCCTGAAAAATTAATAACCCATGCTTTCACATTAAGAAGCCAAGAAAACACTGAAAATTAAACCCAAAAGGACCAGAAAGAGGAAAAAAAATTAATGGCATAAAAATATGTAACATTAACAACTTCCAAATTTCATTTCTTAAAAAGACGAATAAACCTCCAATAAAACTGATCAAAACAGGGAAGAGATCCTAGCATTTGGGAGGCTGAGGCAGGAGGACTACTTTGAGTTTGAGGCCAGCCTGGGTTATGTATTGAGTTCAAGGCCAGCCTAAACTATATAGCAAGACCCTGTCTCAAAACAAATGAAAACAAAAAATAGGGAGGAGAAGTAATGCCAAGAATAAAAAATACTTATAAACATTAAAAATTAAAGACTACCATGAACAACTTTATATAAGTATATGTTTGAAATATAGGCAAAAGAAACAGATTCATTGAAAAATAACTTATTAAAATTAACACAAGAACAAATAATATGAACAGTGCTCTATTAAATTAAATTTCTAATAAAAAGTTTATCAAGATACAAATTTTGTAGGGCTGGAGATGCAGCTTAGTGGTGCCACACCTGCTTGGTAAATGCAAGGTCCTGAGTTTGATTCCCGGTTACAGACCAAAAAAAAACCAAACAACCCCCCCCCCCAACTTTGTTAAAGTTATCTGAAAAATATCCTGAGATAAAGAATGAAACAGGAATAGGAAGGGAATCAAGGGAAGTGGGGAGAAGGGAAGTATAGAGGGGAAAGGGAGTCCTAATGACAAAGATGAGCTGTGTATATCAATTCCCCAAAATAAATGTAATTGTTAGATATTGCAAACAAATACTAACAATTTTTTCAAAAGAAAAGAGTGAAACAAGAATGTCTGTTACTACCGCCTTTTTTCAACTTTGTACCAAAGACTCTACACAATGCAGTAGGATAAGTATATAAAATGTGCGAGGAAGAAATACTGCCAATGGTCATTATTTGCAAATGATATGGCTTTTGCATAGAAAAATCTTCCAAGTACTTGAAGATAATTAGAATTTATAAGTAAATTTACCAAAGCCATTTATGCAGAGTTGATAAATTGCCTGTGTTTACAATAGAAAAAATATTTAAGAGATAAAATTTTAAAATAATCTCATTTATCTTGCATCCCCAATAAATCTAAATAAAGATTTGCAAGACCACTATAGAGAAATCTACAAAACATTACTGGAAGAGTTAAAGAATATATAAGTATATGTTGATCTACAACCATGATTGCAAATTAGCAGACGAGAGTGTGAAGGCTCTTTTGAAGAACTCGATGACTTGATGCTAAAATTTATATGGAAATACAAAGGGTCAAGAATAGTGAAGAATATATGAAGTTTTGAGTATAGAACATTTACACTCTTAGTTATTAACACTGTAAATCTATAGGAAATAAAAGAATGTGATATTAGAATAAAGAAAGCAAAAAAAAGTAGTGGTCCACACTTGTATTCTCAGATACTAGGGAGGCTGAGGCAGGAGAATTGCAAGTTGAAGCCTAGCCTGTGCAACTTTGTGAGACACTGTCTCAAAATAAAATAAATAAAAGCATAAAGGGCTAGGCATGTAGCTCAGTGGTAGAGCATTCCTGGTTTCAGTCCCTGGATGGGGGGAGGAGGTAACACTGAGACAGACAGAGAATACAGAGGCTGGACACACAAACCCATACATGTAAAACATGTGAGATACAAAAAAAGGCTCAGTGCAACGACCTTTTCAATCAGCGATACTGGGTCAATTGGTATTTGTATTAAGGAAGAAAAAACCCCCTAAAATTTGACTTCTCCCTTCAACTATACATTAGAATAAACACCAGATGGATCAAAGACCTATTTTTGTACGGAAAAATGACATACTATCTAGGAAGTAACAGCAGATAATCTTCATGACCTTGGGTTGGCCAGATAATTCTTAAATAGCACTGTAATAACATTAACTATAAAAGAACAGATTGATGAATTGGACTTTATGAAAATTAGGAACATTTATAATTTTTTTGAGAAACCAACCCAATTTTGATTATTAACAGGCAAAAGATCTGAACAATATCTCTCTCTCTCTCTCTCTCTCTCCTTCACACACACACACACGCGCGCGCGCATAGACAGGTATGACATCCAAGTTGAAAATACAGGCAAAGCGAACAGGATGTGGGAGAGGGTGATTGCAATCACATTTTTCCTACTTCTCTGAGTAAGAAGGTGGCAGAGTCCAGTCCAGAGCAGATCACACAGCGTAGTTTTCGTGCTCTTCAGAAAGCACCTGCATTTAAGAATGGCTTTGGGGAATGATGTGCTTTTCCAAGGGTATCTCAGGGCTTTCTACTGGCTCTTCTAAGTTCTAAGCCTAAGTGAGCTGTAACTGAGCGACTCAGAGCAAGTGAGGGTGAAGTCAGACTCTTCTGGGGGTCCTTGCTCAGTTATTATTACTATTATTATTATTTTTTTTTTATCAGTGTGATGCTGGGTGCCTTACTTAACCTTTCAGAGTCTTAGTTTTCTCATGTAAGAGAATGGGGCTAATACTATTTATTTTAAATGTAGTTGTGAGGATTAAATGAGATAATAGATATGAAAATACCTAGCACATACTCTACACTTGAAGTTTTACATGCACAGAGAGACAGACATCTTTCTGAAGCCAGGCATACTATTTACAAAACTTATGCCACTTAAATCCACTATTTTCTTTTTTTTTATTTTTTAAAAGCAATGGATACCTCCTCCCAAAATATCATAATTTACTCTTGCAGGTATCTGTTTGTGCACATTAGCTACATGCTAATTAGAATGTATATGTAGCCTCCTATACATTATTATTAGAGAGACAGATGATGAAAACAGATTATTTGAGGGGTGCAGAATCCAATAATAGAAGTGTTCTGGATTTTCTATATCAAATCAGGAAAAATCTTTTTTTAAGGAATTATATTGATAAAAGTTCCCTGGAGTGGATCAGAGTAAAGAAAGTCATTAAATTACTTTGAATCACAAGAGAGCACAATATTGAGGTAAAAACAGTCAGAAAGTAACCGTAGATTTAAATTTCTTCCCCTGGGACATGCATTTTACAAAGTAGTTTTCCTGCCTGAAATTTTCCTCTGCATATGACTACCTGAAAAATAGTTACTTAGGTTTTGGAATCACACATTCAGTCCATCAAAAATGTTTATAAAAAGTCCCTAATGTGCTTCAAGTGCTAGCTTAGGCACCAGGCAGAAACAGAGGGGCGCACACAGTCCAACTTCGACCTCACCCTCGTGTGTTCAGGCTTGGCTCCAGGCCCTGTGAAGCCCCCTGCATTGCTCCTGCCCTCTTCTCAGGCTGTAGGTGCACATATGGTACAAGGCAACAACTCATCCCTTCCCGTGGCTGTTACCCTAGCCCGGGAGGTGCTGCTTGAGAGGAAGGACTACAGTTCTTCATCTTTTCTTCCCTAGAGCACAAGTTAAAGTGTGACATGTAGTGAGCACTCAACATGTTGGATGAAATCATATTCATGAGGCCTAGGTACAATCAAATCTGTTAAATGATTCTTATCATGAATATTAGAGAAATAAAAACAGTTACATCCAGGAAAATTACATCTTTTTGAGACATCCTTTGCTTTTGTTATGTTATTAGCATTTTATTAGTAGCCCTGGAAGCTTCTTTAAAAATGCTCACAATGCCAAGAGCATTAGTGGTTTTTAAAGACATGCATAGTACAAATGTAGGTGAAATGATGTTTGGTTAGTCTTTTCCAGTATAACATCATGAGAATCTTTGGGAAAAAATAGATTGAACTTCTATTTACTTGCCAACAACTATGCATATAAACAACTTAGTCATTTGTACCAGGGAATTTATTAAATTTTTATAACAATTGACAATATTCATCCAGAAAAAGAAAGCAGCAGAAGAATTCATAGAATTTAACTGCAACAAAATCTGGAACATCCTCCAAAAGCAGTAACACTATTTATTTAAACATTTAGTACAGATCTAAAATAAAAGTCTCCTCATGATCATAAAAGTGTGCTGAATTATATTTGAAAAAATGAAAACAACAAAACTGCCATTATTTGTTCTAAAAAAGGGAGAAGAAGCCATTCTTCAGAGATACTAGGGAGATTTTGGAGGCTTAAGTAGCATAAACATAGAGGGAACTTTGGAGATAATACCATGGTTGGGTTTTAGTCATGTGCATACAGTCCCACAGAGAAGGACTGAAGCCTGAGAACCTGAAATACCTACTTGGTCTGGTGTTTGGATCCTTTCAGGTGGGCGTGGTACTGTTCTATGGAGTTTAAGGAGACACTGCAGATGGTGCATCTGTAAGTGCGCCTCAGACCTGTGGACAACAGACAGATCTGGTTAGCTGCCTTCCTCATCAGCCACCTGATTGAATTCTAGCACATTTTCCATTTTAAGTACAGAGTAAAAGAGGACTTCCTATGCATCCCACCAGACACGCTTCACCCACCTTCTGGACCCCAGCCAATGAGACCCTCAGCAGAAATGTGAGCTGCATGAGATAGGAGCAGCCTGCTCCATTTACTGTAACTGAAATTATGAGATCATACTTTTTTAATTGAAGCAAAATGTTTGTGGACATATTATAACTCAAAGTTTTCTATTTTTTCCCTAAGGCATATAGACATAGCTGGCTGTCACTTCTGCAGTGAAATTTGGAGCAATAAAGGAAAATCTATCCCAATTCCTTTCCCACCTCCTCCCACGGCAGAATTGGAAGCACAACTTAGGGCATTATTTATTCAGGGTTTTCTTCTAGGACTATCTTATATGGTGTAAATATAAGGAGGAGGAAAATATATCAAACTGTTTTATATGAAGTCTTACTTTTCACCAGCCAGTTTTAAAAGAATATCTATACATTCATCTAGTTATTCATTTAATTAATTCATTAAAATAGTATCACTCAGAGCCAACATGGGCAATTCCAAGATGACTAAGATGCTCTTTGCTTTCAAGGAGCTTAGTAAAAAGCTTGACTCTTTCATATTATTGACTGATCTGCAGACAAACGTGTAACAAAGCAGCTTTAACCAAACAACTTCAAACATTTGACACAGCTCAGAGACCCTTAGTGGAACATATTCCTTCATCTAGGGTGTTCCTTCAGAGTACATAGAAAAGAAAAGTCAGTCATGATCTTAAACATTGGATTTATACCTTGGATCCATCATCCTGGTTCTATAGCCCAGAGGAAGTCATATCACTTCTTCCTGCCCCGTTTCCTGGTCTACAAGATGAAGACAAGCCTATCCACATCACAACACTGCTGCAATAACTGAGAGAATAAGATCTATGAACATGTTTGTCAAGTGAGAGTGGCTGTTACTTGTTTTTCCATGAAATTCTGGTCTTACCATTGTAAAAGCCAGGATATCAAACAGTTGTAGCATTTCTTTCTAATTAGTATGCAGTGTTTTCCTTCTAAGAGGAAAGTTCTGTTTTCCCAAGAAGGAAATAATGTACATCGGTTGGAAGAAACAATTTCAGTGCAGGAAGGAGGACAAGAATAGTTTCCTTTGTTATACCGAATGAGTCCTGCTTACTGAATGTTACAGTGTAGCTAAGTTTGCTTTTATGTCTACATTATGAGCAAAAAGCAGAGCTTCCTGGAGACTTTCAAACTGTGATGGCCTGATGCACATTTCATAGAAGCCTATTTGAAATATAACATGTAAGCTGAGCTGTCAGTATGAGGAGAAACATTTTAGGTTTTGTTTAAATCACATACGTGGGCACTGACATAACTAATGGTTCCAAGAGTCGACTGAGCAGAATGGAGGGGCACATTTACTTAACATGAATGAGGACTGGAGTTTTATGCCAGCGCGCACGCACACACACACACTCACACACACACACACAAAAGGTAAATTTAATTATGGAAGAAAAAGAAACAACAACAGATACTAGGACTCAAAACTTCCCAGGCACAGTTTACCAGTCCAGATGTGAACCAGAAAACTACTGAATCTCTGCATTCACTTGAGGAATGACATTGAACCTTCAGGCTTTAGAGAGTGGATAGATCTCCAGCAACCATGCTGTCTTGCAGATGCCTAGGCTAGCCTTGTGGAGGTTCTGATTCTGAGGGCTTTGCAGCCTGGAGATGGAGACTTTTCAGACCATAACCCCACCTCCACTATTTGCCCACACTCTAATAAAGAACTCTCCCTCGTAATCCTTTGGGAGAACTTGAGCATGTCAGAAGAATTCTAGGTCTTAAAAATGAAAAACATAAAAAGGAAGAAAGCTATTCCGTAAGGAGCTGTGCTTGCATCACCTTTCTTTTTCACAGGTATGCATGATTCAGAGAGATTACCATGGTCCCCACATTCAGAAGCCATAAGTTATCACAACCAGCACGGAAGGAGGGAGTTGTCTGAATGCCTATCCAGGGCTGATTCTTTCTGCTCTTTTATGCATGGAATCAAAATATGAGAACCAGCTTCAGGCATTACTCCCTCCAGAGTTCTCCATCAATCTTGTCATAATAAATGGTAAATGCTGTTTATATGAGTCCTCTTCAGACGACAGAATAATAGGTCTCCTTATAACAAATGGAGGTTCAGGTTGGCAATAGGCATAAATATCTATGTTCAAAAATGGGTACTTTTAAGAACACCAACAAATCTAAAAAAATATTCTGATCTGTTGTTTTCCATAACTGTTCTCCTGCTCTGCAGCCAGAGGCGTGGGCAGAAAATACTTGGCAGTTGATTGCAGTGCAAACTACAAGGATCATAAACTGGAAAGGCCGTGCATGTAAACAAGAAGAAAGGCAGAGATGACACAGAGAATACCTCCTCCTCACAAGACACAGTGTCCTTGGTGGGAACTTGGTGGTTTATTAATACTCAGTTGAAATCCTAATTAGTTTGGAATTATATGGCTCCTTTTTCCTTAGGGAACTAGAGAATCTTATTTTTAAACCTAAAAGGCTAACTTTCTTATTCTGTTAATTTTTAGCACAATAACATATTGAAGGTATCCTAAAACCTTTGCAGGCTTAAAGATTATTTCCGCAGAATTGCCAAATATGTGTTAGAAAATACCATCCCTGTCTGCAAGGAGCTGGCAGACAGTTCAGATGAAGAGAGAAGACACAGGCAGAAGCAGAAAGTCCACAGGGGACCACAGCAGGGACCATGGTAAAGGGAGGGAGGCTTTACAGGAGCAAAAGGTGGAGACTGACGCTAGCTCAGAAGATCTGGAAAAGCTTCTTGATGATGCACTGCTTTTGTATTTATATTTCCTAGCACACTGTGTATAAAACAGATGGTTCTGGAGTTTACTAGAATGCAACTACTTTCTGCATCTTTTCAAGTCTAGCAAAGCTAGATGGCCCTATGGTTTCAGTTGCCTACATTCTACATTAGGGAAACATTGTTGAGCCTTTATTATGGTGCCAGGTATTTTGCTGAATGCTAAGAATATAAGAGAGATTAAGATAGAGAACATTTTCTTATGGAGCTAGACAGGAAGAAAGACAAGAAACAATAAACAAAAGAGAAAGCGTTGCACCGGAAGTGAGCAGGATAATGAAAGAGGAAATAGGTAGAAGAGTGATCTTCTTTGGCAACAGAGTTTTCTAGAGATTATAAAATTAAATAGAAAGATGATAATTAGCATGTGACATGAATATCTGGGTAGAAAGTGGTCTCAAAAGGATAAACGACAAGTGTACAAGGTTAGAAATGGAAATGAGATTGACTTGTTCAAGAAATAAAAAGTGGTAGAGGAAAAGAAAAAAGTAATACAATTTTTTTAAAAAGCCTTGTCCATCTGGAATTCTACATCCAGCAAAAACATCATGAAGAGTGAAAGTAGACCAAGATTATTCCCAACCAATAAAAAAATAAATTTGCCAGAAATTATATTAAAGAAATGCTGAATAAAGTTCTTCATAGTGAAAAAAAGCACCAGATGTAAATTCAAATCTGAGAAAAGATCAAGAACACCAGAGATGATTGATATATGGAAATGAATCTTTTAAATATCCTTTTAATTTGTTTGAAGACTACATCTAAAACAAAATTATAACACTGTATTGTGTATTATGTTGTTTTTAATGTATATACATGTAATATATATATATCATAACAAAAACATAAGAATGAGGTGAAGTAGAACAAGACTATTGAAAGATCATTATATTTCATATGAAATGGTACAATGATAATTTCAAAGTGATAATTTAAGGATGGTGATAACTCAGTATAATCCCTTAGAATAACTACTAAACAAATACAATGATAAAAGGCACAGAGAGAATATAAAGTGTAACAGTAAGTGGTATTTGATTAGCCCACAAAAAAGTAGGAAAGGACGAACAGAAAAATATAAAATAGATACAACAAGTAGCAAAATGATTAAGCTAAATTCAATCAGATTAATAATCAGATTACATGTGAATAGATTAAACTTTCAAAATACTGAAATTATTAGTCTGGTTTATAAAAAGCAAGATCCAAATATGCACTGAATTCAAAAGATGTGCTCTGAATAGTTATATGTTGAAAGTACACAGAAGAACACTTTAGACTACAAAAATAGTAAAGAAAATGGAATTGCTTCTATTAATATTAGATAAGATAAACCTCATAACAAGATAGTTCACCAGAGTTGAAGAGGATATTTTATGAGAAGAAGAGAATTCCTCAGGAGACCATAACTCCAAATTGCAAAGAGTAAGAAGAGTAAATACTGACAAAAAACTAAATGTAGAAATAGATAAGACCACAATAATAAGAGATCTTAATCAGTACTTGCTAGAAAAACAGGACAAAAAAATCAGTATAACTTAAAAATCTGAGTGAAAGCATCTTTTTGTATTGACTGGTATTTATAAAACACTACATTCAACAACTGTGGGAAATATAAACTTTTCAAGTGTATGTATGAAGAAAACCAAGTTAAAGTGCAGGTTGATGAGCCACAAAAAACAAATTTCAAACAATTATATAATTTGACCACAATTGAATCAAGTTAGAAATAAATAGCAAGGAGATTTATCAATGACCTAAAACACTTCTAAATAACTCATGATAAAAAAGCAAAAGGGAAATTAAAAGTATTTTGAACTGAATAATAAGGAAAATATGGAAAATTCAGGGTTAAAGCAGTTTTTAGAAAGAAAGTTACAGTTTTACAGTAGAAACAAAGAAAGGCTTAAAATCAATGGTCAAGCTGGGCATGGTGGTTGCGTACACATATAATCTTAACATTCAGGAGGCTGAAGAATTCAAGGCCTGAACAAGTTCAGGGCCAGCCTGGACTAGGGAGTGAGACTCTGTCTCAAAAAACAAAAAAAATAGT